AAAACATGTAATCTATTAGGATAAACACATAAGAGTAGCTTCTTATTGTATAAAATGAAAGTGCTACGTGGGTGTAAAATATTAATTGAAAAGCTAAACAGATTTATTTTTTCCCAGAAACACTTTATTTATAACAGCAGTAAATACTGTAATACAGAGTAGAAAATGATCTGCATTGGAAACAAGAGCAAAGAATAACAAATTATTTTTGAATAAGAAAAAATCCTCAATTAAGGCAACTTATCAGTTTTGTGCACTTTTGGGTTGTTTGTTTTGCATCTGCATTTCTGATCATCATGAAGCTCTGAGTAACTGGAGATCCTTCCACCTGAAATGAGGATACAGGTCTTTTACAACATAGAATCAACTCTGGAAAGATGGCCTAGTTGTGATATGACGATATGATGTGATGTAAGGGCCGCCCTGCTGGTAGTTTATGGTATTTTCTTTTTTTAAACACCACCATGTCCCTTAATCATGAAGCTATCTGTAATTTTACAGCATTTAACAGCACTTTCCCTCCTGACTTTTCGCTTTCGCTCGTTCTCCTTTGAATTTTTTTCTCCACTCACTCACTTAACGCTGTGTTGATGTGTGTGTGTATGCTTTTGACCAGTCGCGTGTGATGACAGAGGTCATACCATCAGGTTAAAACAAGAATGGACGCTGACTGTCTACAGGTCTGAGGGACTGTGGCTGACCTGTGACAGATTCAACTTTTATTCTCGTTTGACAAAAGTCTGGGTGTCATATTTGGCACACCTGTTGTGTGGATTCTCCTGCTATTAAGAAAGCTTGCTATCGCTGCCGCTGGTTAAGTTGATTATTAACAGCAGGATAAAACAGCCCTCAGTCCGACGGCCAGTCCGCTAGTTTAATCTCCACAGCGTCAACTTGTTTACAGTGTTGTCGGTCAAGACAATAGGCTTGATGAATGGACCAATGAGCAAACACTATGTGCAGGTAGTACTCATGGGAGTTGTAATGTCAGATTGCAATTCTTTTGTTATTTCAGATGCAGTTTGAAAAGACTACAATTTTTCAACACGCCAAAGTGGATAGTGGCAGTGACTGTGTTACCGCCATGGCTGAAATCCACCCACATTTGGCGGGTTGGCGGACGATAATGTCAAGCCCTGGTGGCATTGTAATGTTTCCCTTGTTTAAAGGGGCACTCCGCCAACTTTTCTCATGAAGTTCAGTTAACTCGCCACAACCTATGAAACGTTTTTTTAAATGTCTTCTGTGGCTCTGGATGACGGCATCGGGCTTATTCGTTGAACACACTGTTGAGCTGCATTATGGGAATTGTACGATCCAGGGGTTTAGGAGTCGTGAGGGACAAAAACCCAAACAAATATGTCAGCCTCTGTTGCTTCACTTTTATGAGTCCTCTAAGACAGAGCCGAGGTCATTACATCACTTCCTGTCTAGTCTCTGTAACGCAGCACTTCTTTCCTCAGTCTTTCTGGAAAGAAATTAGACTTTTCTTACTGTCCTGGTTAATTTTCCACATTCTGTAGTTAAACAATGATTACTTTTTTACAGAAAAACCTACAGCTCTCATGAAAATTCATCAGAGCGGCAGCACAGGTACTTTGTTTTGTCCATATCCATAACATGTACTAAACGCTCTCTTCTAAAATCATTTTCCCATTTTTTTTTTTTATCTGTATTTTCTGCTGTTTTAAAAACTTTGTGTCCTCTTGTTTTTCAAATAACTGCCCTTATCTAGACATGAAGCGAACCATGTAGTTGTACTGTTGAGAAAGGCCCTGCTCCTTTTAGTTATTAGCGTCGTTACAAATGTCAGCGGGATTTTTCATGAGGTTTTCTTGCTTGTGAAACAGACTCCTTTTGTGCTCTTTTTAAAACATTTTCTAGAGGGACGCTCTGACATCTGAGATTTGAGAGTCGGCTGCCAAAAGCATTGCATTCATGAGCCACGCTGTCAGAAAATCAAACCAAGAAAACAAACTATAAGCAACCATGGATGTTGTGTCGGGGAGAGCGTGTAGGATTTGTTTTCTTGCTGTGCAGCATCTGTTTAAAAGTAAAGGAATATTTACAAAATATTTATATAAATGCAGCTAGAAAAATAGGGAAACGATTTAAAAAGGCATGCCATGCGATGGAAAGTGAGTCACAGTGAGGTAGGTGATTTGTAACCATTGGGGATAAGCGATATGGGAACACTCACCTGTCACGCTGGTTTCCTACACTCTCTCTCTTTTAGGTGTGCAAATTAATGCTAGCTTAGCTGTTTAGACCTGAGGTGAAATTCAGCTCCGATGCAACATAGCAAAATGTTTATTTAAATGGAAACGTGGTCCGTTGAATACACTGTTCAGTAATGCAAGCGTTGCCACTGTGGCGGCTGAGAAGGCCCTTTTTTTTTTTTTTGTTCTTTTGCTTGAAATAGTTCAAAATCCCTCTGTGTTACAGTTACTGCTCTTGCTGTGCAAAATATTAGAACATGTCAGTCGAGTGAGATTGAGTGGAAAAACTGTGGGGAGTGGTTTCTACACACGTCTCTACTGATCATGCCACACCTCCGACACACCCACCAAACACGTTGTTCGGCCGTAGCGGCGCCGATGTTTTCGTTCCCCTGTTTACGTCTTATCTAACAACATTTCCTTTCCGCCCTCAGGGAGCCGAAGCAGCGGATCGACGAGAAGCGAGGGCGAGCGACGCCGCAGCACTAAAGGTCCCGGCAGCACCGTGGGTGGAGGGGAGAAATCCCCCTCAGGCGGAGGTGGGGAAGGTGGCGGGGCTGACTCGCGCTCCGGCAGCGGCAGCGAATCAGAATACTCCACCCGCAGCAGCCTGAGGCGTGGCCACGGTTCAGCCGCCCCCAGCGAGCACAGCCACGCCTCCTCCCAGCGCTCGCATCATCACCGCATGCCCCAGCCGCCCCACATGTCTCCCTACCCTCCGGGCATCCTGCCTTACAACCCCATGATGGTGATGATGGTACCCCAGCACCCACATGCGGCCATGGCAGCCGCCCACGCTCTTCCTCACACGCAGCAAATGGCCACAGCCATGCACCCGGCTCTACCACCGCCCCCTTCCTCCACTCCCGGGGGGCCTCCTGGCGCCCCGCCCACCCGTGACCTAGGCTCCGTACCCCCAGAGCTGACTGCGTCGCGTCAGTCGTTCCACCTGGCCATGGGGAACCCCAGCGAGTTCTTTGTGGATGTCATGTAGTTTTTCCCCTATCTTGGTGTTGAGTGACCATTCATGTGAAGTTAGTGCACGGTTCCCACTTGTTTTGACGAGGATATGGTGGTAGCTTTTTGAGCTCACAAGGGCCGATTGGATTGAAGGCACTTGTTACAAATTTGGTGAGAACAGGGTTTAAGATTGACAAAGAAAACAAGACAAAATTAAAACACAATTAAAGTGGGATATGGTCTGACTGTATGTCTACGAAGTCTAGTTTCTCTCATTCAAATCCACTACATAACATTTTTAATCCTAAATGCGGAAAGACCAGTTCAACCTACTTATCTCAGTAATGAGTTTGTTTTTTCTCAAAAAGCAAACTCTCAATACAATATTTAGAGTGCCTATCAGAGCTGCTCAGCAGTCTCGTTTTTTGCAGTCCTCAAAACAGAAATATAATATTTTAGGAGGGGATGCACCTCCACAAACTAGCTACTTACGTCAGTGCTGTCCATGCAGGAAGCGCACAGACTGCAGTTTTACACCAGGTACACTGTACTTGAAAACGGATACAATCTTGTAAACATATCTGGATCATCCTGCCAGATTCCGTGGCAGCGCAGGAGCATTTTGAGTGCCTTAACTGTTGGCATTTTTAGAGACTTTTTCACACTCCAGGTACATAAAATAACTCCTCTTGTTCTAGCATTGTTTGACAATGAACCTCTCTGTGTATATATCTACTACTCCCGTGTAAAATGCAAACACTACAGAGCAGCGAGCTCGAATGTGAAAAGAAAATAGGTCCAAAAATGTCAGGTGAACTTGTCTTTAGTAATCACTGTCTTGGCCTAGCCGTGAAATGACTCTCATTGCGAGTGAGTTTTCAGTGTGGGACTGTAGAGGCTTAACGGTACTCATAGCTGAAAAGACGAGAAATTGAAACCGGTACTTTTTGATTACGTACAGTGTATATCTTTAAGAACTGTGATCCAAATGCCCCAGCTCCCCATGCTTATTTTTACTGACTTGCATTATTCACCCATTTCATTTTTGTATGAGTGACTATATAAATCATGTGTAACCGAACTATTAAAGGTGCTAAATGAAGATTTGACATTTCTAAAAAGAATGACATTGACAGTGTCACATTGTTTGATTTCATATCAACACCTTTTTGTTTGTGTATTTGAGAATAAATTTGATACTTACATACTGCTCCGACTTAATTATTTTAAGACGGGATTTAAAAGTCAGATTGTGAACATGAACCTTCTCACTCCTTCACATGCTTTGCCTCAGAACTAGACTGTGTTGTAGACGTAGAGCGCACACTGAATGCTGATCTTAAATATGTTGTACACTGAACAAAATTATAAACGCAACACTTTTGTTTTTGCCCCCATTCATCATGAGCTGAACTCAAAGATCTAAGACTTTCAAAAGGCGTATTTCCTTTGCCGAGATGATCCGTCCACCTCGCAGGTGTGGCATCAGACAGCATGGGTGTGCCCTTAGGCTGGCCACAACAAAAGGTCAAGGCAAGTGATAATAAGCATCCAACAGGAATGTGTGAACAGTGTCAGGAGGTTGAAACAGTAGTGCATATTCTCACAACATGCAGGAAATTTATTCAGGAGAGACAAGAAATGATAAAGCAGTTCCAAAAAAAATAGGGCGGGTAGATGATACTTTGAAAAGTATTATGGAATATGAAGAGAGAGTGGAAGGCAGGAAATGCATACTTGTTTTGTGTTTTTTGTTGAGGGCGACTGGATTAGACAGGCGGATTTAATATGCATGAAAGCTGAGCTGAGGGTAAATAAAACCTGAAGGTGGCGGTAATGCAACTCCATGGATGCCAACTGCCGTCAAAAGTGGAAGAAGAAGAAGCGGCACTGGTGGGTCATTTGGAGGAACAACCGGCTATTAGACGGACGCTCTGGACGTTTCATAATATAACTTGTACAGGTACTATACTATACTACATTATATTGTGCTATAAATCGATGTTGATGGTTTTCGATACAAGGAATCCAAACATTTACCCGTGTTTCCTGTTTTCTGTCCTTTGTCAACACTGTTCAAGTTGACGTCGTTACTTAGCTGCTAGTGCTAGCTTAGCTAACCCAGACTCGTTCTGTATGTGTGTGTTTGGTTATATTATAAATTAACATTATTGTCTTTTCATTTGTTTTGTCTTTTAGAACAAAATAAAACCATGCTGCTTCGTAAAGTGAGCCAGTCCTCCGCGCTGTGCGGCGTTATCCTCAGGATGCCTCCCGTGCTGTCCGGGTAGGTCACGTTTAAAGCTGTTATTATTTAGCTTTTAACACATCTGTTGACGAATGTTAACATGGTTTTATTTATTTATTTTTTAAATATCCCCTATCGTCTCTTGTCCGGGTTACAGGGGTCACGCCGGGGCTGTGGTCGCTGTGCAAAACGGTCGTCGATACGCAAGCCAGGCTACACAGGTACGATCATAATGTGATATAATATTAGCCTACAATGTGACAGATATTCCCATTTAATGAGCACTTATGTCAGATATGTTTGCTTCAGTCTGTGGGGTGTCTGTTTATTGTTGTTTGTCTTAACGCAGTGGCTGGCTGACATAACACTGACTCCCCCTCCCGCTGTATGTAGGGGAAAGTTCACCAGTCACATGACTCCTAAAGGTGACACCTCAGTAGTTCAGGCAGCTGTAAGGAAGATGCCATTCATGTTGTGCTTAACACTGTTGCATTGTTCAACGCACACTTTTATTTTATCTTGTCATTTCAGCAGTTAAATATCCTTTATATTGCAGAAGTAGCGTTTGATTCTTCAGTAGCTACATTTACAATATAGTTTAGATATCTGAGGAAGGTTTAAAATCCAGTCCAGCTGTCCTTGATTTTAACCTTCCTTGGATAACTATGGCCTGGATGACTGAGAACCCTCAAACTAAATGTTTCCGCGCTTTACTAAATACACTGTTTCAGCTTATTTAGGTGTGGTAACAGATGCTCTGTAGTTGTAAGTATCATAATAGTACTTTGACACTCATTTTTAATGTCCATGACCACTTTGTTATTTAACGCTGCTTTTGTTAACCTGCGTTTATTGTCTGACGACGTCATGATCATAAAGTCATAATTTTATCAGCAGCTCGGCAATGACGTCTGGTCAACATAGCATTAATGAGCAGCAAGGAAATTTCAGATTTGTTTGTTTTCTGAAAAAGCAGAAATGGAACAAATGCGTTGTGAATTTGGCTGTTTTAAAATACAGTACAGGCGTCGGAGAGAGCAGGAGGTAATCTCACTGGGCTCCATTTCTGTAGAGAGCAGTTACAAGTAGCGCTCAGAAATAGATTTGTAGCATTGATTTGACTTGAGACTACATGTCAGGTTAAGGTACCTGTGTCAAACGCAATGCAAACAGCCCTGTAATAAGTCTTGTCATTAAGATTTATTGGATGCAGATTGGTGTCAGAGGCTATGTTGTTTTGCTGATTTGTGCAACAAGTTATTGGAAACATTTTTATGAATATGACTGTATGCACAGTACCCCTGCTGCTCGGTGACTCAGCTGACTGGATGTGCCCTTGGCGTCACCTTTCACCCATTTGGAGCTTGAACGCAGCCCTTTGAGCTTCGTACCGTTCCAGTGCTCTGGCTGGAATTGGAAAAACTTTCACTCGTGTTTGTTTTGTGGTGTCCTACCACATCTTTTGACCTGAGGGTTGTTCCCAGCCATGTTGTTGTTGTTGTTTATTTGAGCAGTGTGTGTTTTTGAATTAAAGGTTATTGAGTCTTACATTTTTCACAGAGACAGTTTCAACTCTGTGTTTTGCTCTTTCTCTTCAGGCGGTGCTGGAGAAGCCAGCAGCAGTCAGCAGTGACACTGCCACTAAAGTGGCGAAGACATCAGTTGCTGCTGTACGTTCATTCTCTAACTTTTCTTTTTATTGTTATTGTATTTGAGATCATGCTGTCCTTGTCTTATTTTTAATAAAAATGGCTTTTAAACAGTATTGGAGCAGTTAGAATTTGCCATGTTGTTAACACGTCATAAGAATGAAAGGTACCCTGTGCAGTTTTTGACCTCTTGTAGGAGCTACAAACTAAATTTCTTAATGAATGGGTCCCCGTTTAGTTTGGATTCACAAGCACACGCTCGTGGATGACACGACAGAAAGTCCTGACAGTGGATTCACAGTGTTGGCTGTACCACTTGCAGATTCCACTGATCCGCAGGTGGAAGTAGCACGCCAAAAGCAATGCGCCGACAAAGGCGGTGAAGGAGAAGACTACAAGCTAGTAAACATGGACGTGTTTCGTGGAAGAAAATGCATTGAACATGTGTTGTGCCCGAAGGATGCACAACTACAGTTAATGTAAACGTGCCTTTTGTTTGTGTTTTAAAAATGCCACAGGGTTTCTTGAACAAAAAAATGTTATTGTCTGTTTGTTTGCACAAGCTTTACTATGTTTGACTTAATTCTCTGCAGGAATCCAAATCATTTGCTGTAAACATTTTCAAGGGCCAGATCCAGACTGCCCAAGTGTTTCCCTTCCCCTCAGGTAAATCAGAGGAGATTATATCATCGATATGTTTAGAAATTTGCCAACATTTCTTTAAAAAGCTCTGTAGAACTAAAAAAGTTGTAGCGTAATTTGTTTTGTTTGTGTCGTAGCCCTGAATGAGGAGCAGGAGCAGTTTCTTCGGGAGCTTGTGGGGCCTGTCAACAAATTTTTTGAGGTAATTTCAAACCTTTATTTATTTATTTTTTTTAAATAAATGTGTCTTGCTTCATGCTCATGACCTCTCCACATCCCCCATACTCACTCCTCAACCTCCATGTTGCTGCTTTCGGTGCTTAGGAGGTGAATGATCCTGCCAAGAACGATGCCTTGGAGAAGGTAGAAGATCACACCATGCAGGGCCTGAAGGAGATGGGGGCCTTTGGCCTGCAGGTGCCAGCTGACCTTGGCGGCCTCGGCCTCTCAAACACGCAGGTACGTCTACTTGATTAGATTTATGGATATTTACGAACTTAAAATTGTATAGTTGTTAGTTAAGTCAGTCAGCTATGAAAGCTGGGGGTGCAATAAGTCTAATGTGACGACATTTTGCAGTATGCCCGGCTGGTTGAGATTGTTGGAAGTCATGACCTCGGCGTTGGCATCACTCTGGGTGCCCACCAGTCCATCGGCTTCAAGGGCATTCTGCTTTTTGGGAATCCAGCCCAGAAGGAGAAGTACCTGCCTAAGCTGGCCTCAGGTAAGAAGGCCAGCATTTGATCGTCACATGTAAATTGTAGCTCTGTATACAACAGCAAGCATACTAATTTATACAGGACAAAGTTTCTGTAATTTTGTCTGCAAATCCCAAAACCAGTGTGTTTAGGGTTGGGTTATTCTAGGAAACAAGTGGTTTGTACAGCTTGTTATTGGACCACGTCGTTGGACATGATAGTTGTTCCGAACGGTCGTACTTGAAGGCAGAGTAAAAAGCCGGCTGTCATAGGTGTGTGTGGGGCTAAAATGATTAAATATTGGGATAACGGCACACATTTTCAGACAGTCTCTCCTTAAAGACATTCATAGTGTTGCGCTCAGTTGTGAAAAGTGACAGAAACCGTTAGCTAGACAGAGTTCAAACCCGCCATACTTTCTCACCTCCACACAATCATAGTGTGAAGTTGGTTTGTTTCGGATTGTCTGTCTTTAGAAAGTGCTCCTACAGTTTCATATTCATGTACTTCTGGAACCAAGGGGAAATACAACATGTTTTCATTGTACTGAGAAGGAACATAATGTAATAAAGGAAGAATATAAAACTGCTAAATCATTTCTGTTGCGCGTGTATGTGGTGTGACTCTGCACATGTGTTTGTCCCTCCAGGTGAGCATGTAGCCGCCTTCTGCCTAACTGAACCAGCCAGCGGCTCTGACGCCGCCTCCATCAAGAGCACAGCTGTTCAGTCCCCCTGCGGACAGTACTTCACTCTTAATGGAAGCAAGATCTGGATCAGGTGAGGGCACAGTAGGGGTGTGTGTGTGTGTGTGTGTGACGGGAGGGGGTTTCTGGAGCTATTCGATCATCCGACAAGCAATTGTGATGACGCACACTGGCAGCATAAGTCCGTCTCTTACGACTTTGCGACTTCCCTGCCAGTCGGTGGCTGTCAGCCCAAAGCCTATTGGTTCTAACTTGGTTAGGCTTTGGGCTCAATAATAAGGTTCAATAATGTCCCAAACCAGTGTGTGTGTATGAGAGAGAGAGTGTTGATGTTTTGTTACTTTCACCACAAGGGGGCAGCATTATACAACTTGCCCAGTAATACAGTTTTTTTCTCTCTCTCTCTCTTTTCAGCAATGGAGGTCTGGCTGAGATCTTCACAGTGTTTGCCAAGACACCCATGAAGGATCCCAAGACTGGGGAGATGAAAGACAAGATCTCTGCCTTCATCGTGGAGAGAAGCTTTGGAGGAGTGACACAGTAAGCTGTGTAGATAACTTACTCGACGCTATTAAATTTTTTAATTGGTGTTTTTCTCGAAGAACTCCTCCCAGAAAGTTTGTAACAGGTCGACACAGGGCACGGAAGCGCTGCTTTCCGGCTGCCACACGGTTGTCCGAGCTGATCATTCTAGACAATTCTAGACGATGCTCCGCTTAGCAGAGTATACACAGTGAGTCTTTTTTGACAGAAGAGTAGAAGCCCAAAACGGACAAATGAACAAGTCAACAATGTGGGGTCTCCTGAAGCGCTTCCAGTGGCGTTAGAAGCTGCACAGGGCTACAGGTTGTTTTATTTGGGATATTTAAAATGTTTTTTTCACATCTTAAATCTAATGCCTGAATAAAAAACTAAAAATTTCAGTTGCTCTTTGAGAGGGTGGGCTTACATTATTATGCCATTATATGATCATTATATAAGTGACATAAAATGGTCTTAAAATGACAATAATATCGCCTATCGCAGTTATTCCTGGAACAATATATCGTCCAACAAAAGTAGTTAATGTGACAGGCCGAGTTCAAGAATTTGTCTGTTGTCTGTCTGTCCGGCCTGATTAAATCTCCGGGGTTTTATTGCAGTGGCCCTCCAGAGAAGAAAATGGGCATCAAGGCATCCAACACAGCCGAGGTGTATTTCGATAATGTTCGCGTGCCAGCCGACTGCCTGCTGGGCGAGGTGGGCGGAGGTTTCAAGGTGGCCATGAACATCCTGAATAACGGGCGCTTTGGCATGGCGGCCGCCCTCTCTGGCACCATGAAGGCAGTCATCACCAAAGCTGTGAGTAAACATCCTTTCCTATAACAGAGTAAAACAAGGTGAACTTTTCTCCTAGTTGAGACACTATAGCTTCCACTTACAGCTTTACGTCTCTATATGCGTTTCCTCTCTGCTGCATTGGTTTTAGTCTGTATTGTCTATGTTACATTCTTTTACTGTGGGTTTGTGGGAAATTCCCCTTCGTGTCGTTCACTAAGTTTCAGTAATGCAACAGCCTGCTGAGGTTACAGGTGCTGACAATTCAAACGTGATTGTGGTCATATTTTTGTTTTTCTCAAACATAAACATTTTGTAATTTTATTAATGGTGTTATTGAATAAGGTTTTAATAAAAAGTACTGAAATGAGAACTGTCCTAAATGTGATAATTTTAAACTCTTAATATTAAAATTGAGGATGTTGCACAATCAGCAGTTGGTGTGTGTGTGCAACACTGCAGCGGTAGACTTAATGATCTGCCTCATTTACTGAGAAGCAAAACTAAGAAAGTCAATCTGTTTGATAGTTGCATCATCAGAAATCAACCGCAGGTTGTTTTTTTTTGTTTGTTTTTCCTTTGAACACTGCAGATATGTGCCACAAATTTTCCTGTGCGATAATCAGCCCTGTCATTTTCTGTTTGCAAAGTAGTTACAAAACATTTACATTTAACTCATTTAGCTGACGCTTTTATCCAAAGCAAATTACAATTGCTATGCATGTCAGAGGTCGCATGCCACCGGAGCAACTAGGGGTTAAGTATGATGCAATGACCAAGTGTGTTTTTTGTTTTTTTTAAGATTTCAACACTAGTGACTGTTTGAGAAGGTGTCAAAATTAGGGATCAGTTAGTAATGTGTTAGTGTAACTAAAAATGCAAACTCATATTACAATACTTTCTGTACTATGAGTAAAATATTATTAATAGAGGTGATAATTGGTGCACAGACATTCAGTGCCAATCCGTGCTAATGTTGACTTTGTTTTAATCTATAAAATAATAAATTTCCCACAGCTGTAGGAGATGGATTCAGGTTGCTTGTCTTCGCGCAGTAAAAAATGGCTTTAGACCATTCAATGAAAATGTTACTTTGCAAGTCTCCCTTAAAAAATAAGTAAATATGTAATTATGACGATATCTAAATATAAAATATATAAAAGTACACTGAACAAAATTATAAAAGCAATACTTTCGTTTTTGCTCCCATTCATCATGAGCTGAAGTCAAAGATATAAAGGTGCTTTCAGACCAAAAGCGAAGCGAGCGTTCGGGGCGGTGAGTTTACATACAAAGTCAATGCAAACACGCGTTGAGCCGTGATTTCCTGTCGGGCGGCGCGAAGGGGGTGGGGCCATGTAAGCCAAGGCGAAGCGAAGGAATTCGCATGACGCTGAGTCGCGATAGCCTATCAACGTTGAGACTGTCCGTACGTCACAGACAGCTTCAGAGCGTTGTGTGGAGAGGGCCAGGCAGAGCGGGCGATTGAAAATCTGCAGGCCGGCTGAGAGCTGCTAAACTTGGGGGAGAGGAGCAGGGAGCAGCGCTCCAGCTTTCGGACAAATAAACACCCGTGGTCGGACTGGGTTTTCCTCTGACAACTACGCCGTTTGACCGAGGGAGGAGCTCGGAGTAAACTGCTTTTATAGGATTAAAACGTTGCTTTATCTTGACTGGAGCTTCTCAGCAGCTAGCTTCCGTGCACATCCGGTTCCAGAGTTGTTGTTGTTAGTGTCAAATGACGCTACTTCATATTTATATAAGAACTGGACATTGCTGGGAGAAAAGAAAGCGAGGAGGTTGAACTACCTTGTGAGTTAAGAAAACATGTGTATGTAACTTTATTCCAGCTATCATTGTACTTTACTGTGACCAAATTAGCTTAGCCTAACCCTGATTGATCCAAACTCCATTCAGAAAACGAAGTGAACAAGAAGTTGTTGTCTTGCTGACAGACCTGACAAAGCATGAATTCATATGTTTTACAAATCTGCATCATGTTGTAGTTATTTCGGCATCAGTTTGATCCGTTTATTGCTATTTAATCACAGAAAAATATTTACTTTGTGTTCATACAGCTGTAGTAATAGCGAGTTGTGTTTATTAACGTTATTGCGTTAAAATCGGCTTCTCGCGTTGTGTGTGTGAACAGTTGCAGCGAATGTACTCATGTGAGGAAAGTGTGGCGAGGTGAAAATTCGCATTTATTCTGAATGCGGCATAAGACTTTATCTATGTACACAAAAGGCCTATTTCTCTCAAATATTGTTCATAAATCAGTCAAAATCTGTGTTAGTGAGCACTTCTCATTTGCCGAGATAATCCATCCACCTCACAAGTGTCTCATCAAGGTGCTGATCACACAGATCTAACACAGATTTTGACAGATTTGTGAACTATATTTGAGAGAAATAGGCCTTTTGTGTACATGGATAAAGTCTTATGCCGCATTCAGACCAAACGCGAATTTTACATAGAGAAAGTCTTAGGTCTTTGGGTTCAGCTCATGATGAATGGGGGCAAAAAACAAAAGTGTTAAAAGTTCAGTATATTAATTACAATACACAACAGTAAATACAGATGGCATAATAAAGTAAGGTGTAGCAGAGTACATAAAGTGGAAGCAAAAGGTGAGGCGTTGTGCTACTGAAAAGGACAGAAAGTAGGAGTGATGGAGAATGAGGGAGGTAGTGAAACCAACATCATGAAACTTAAATATGTTCTATTTACAATCATGTAAAACAAAGAAAAGAATGAATTTTCATCCATATGAATTATAATAAGCACATATCCCAGAAATTGCTGTGGATAAAAGTTACTTTTAATTTGCTGTTTGTGCAATTCTACTGACGAGACACAGATAAGTGGAGATCTATGTAGTTTCTACATAGTTTGAAAAAGTTAAGATGGGGGAAATCCCTGTCCTTGATATTTGATATTGATTCCATTGATATTTTTAGAGGTGGGTAGGAGACGCCCATGTATTGGAGACACAGTCTGTGTGGTCCAAAGTCCTTTTTAGGCAAGTCATGGCACTGGGCCGCCATCTTGGCAACGCCTCTGGGCAGCTATTTCGGACGAACAAGACAAGGCTCCTATATAAATGAATGGGGTGAGAGCCAGAACTGCACTTACACAGGTCACCGGGACATAAAAACTACATGAATAGAATCAGCATTAAAATCTGATAAAGTTTGACAACTTTGCCCCAAAATAAGGTATAACGAGCGTTTTTCACAACGGTTATACTTCTGCTACGCGTGCGTCACCCCTTCCGTGCTGCACAGTAGAAGTAACACAGACCCTTATGTCGGTGAGACCACACGATTGGCTGTTAAAAGCAGACGATTGGCTTTCTAGCGGGAGGGACAGGATAACCACCATCTTTACCGTTACGGGCTTTCCCCATAGACTTGTATTGAGGATGTGATTGAGAGGCGTGTCTCTTCTAAATTGTCTCTGTGTGGTCTCATGTGCTAAGAGGAGTGATGCATTTAGATGAGAGAAATGCAACGTGATATATATATATTTTTTTTCGGCATGAAGGTAGAAACTACATAGCTCTCCACTTATTTATACCGCAGCACTTTGATACTTTGGTTGCTTTCACATCAGTTGTTTATTTTCAGCAGTCTTGACAAACTTCCTCTTTTTGCACAAAAACTAGGCAGCAGTAATGTTTCAATAGGACTCTCGAAAAAGCCTGCTAACTGAAGCTGCAGTTAGCTAGTTAGCTCAGTTAGCCGTGCAGCTGACTCTGAGCACCCCCCACTCCCGAGATCTGTGCGGCCAGGGGTGGAAAAACAGAAAATATTTTCAAATATGCGTCCTAGTCACAGCTGCTCTAAATCGACACACACCGCGTTGTAAAACTGAATTTCACTGAGACTGCAGGGGTGCCACGTTGCAAACAATACCGATTCTTACATTATGTTGCTTTAACCTTGTCTGATGTTGTTACAATATACAGCCTGTAACTTTGAATTAAGGTGTGGTTGTGACTGTCGTGTTCTTCTTTTCATCAGGTGGATCATGCGGCCAATAGAACCCAGTTTGGCAACAAGATCCACAACTACGGAACCATCCAGGAGAAGATAGCTCGCATGACAATGATGCAATATGTCACTGAGGTCAGACGACTTAAAAGTGAACTTTCTACCTGTACCACAGTCTTATGCACAATTATCTCAGTTTGACACTGAGATGTGTAATGCTGTTTCTGATTGATTCTGCGGCATCTAAACAAATACTGCCAGTATCCAACATCCACTTTTAGAGACTAGTAGGTAAAGAAGTAGATCTTTTATGTTGCTTTCCTGCCTAACAGCTCCCCTTTTTTTATTGTGCCTATCAAGCATTTCTTGAGCACAAACTCTCAACAGATTAAACTGCTTTTTACACTTTGCATTATTGTTTACTGGTGCTGAAAGTTCCTGCAAATGTATACGTTACTTCCTCTGTGTCTTCTTGCAGTCGATGGCCTACATGATCAGCAGCAACATGGACAGTGGAGCAACTGAATTCCAGATAGAAGCTGCCATCAGCAAAATCTTTGCCTCTGTAAGAGTTCAAATAACATACATTATTTAAACATGCAAACCACATGCCTGTGCAGGACTGCCTCTTACACAAGCTGTTATTGCAGTCAGGGAGCCTTTTAGAAAATATTGCATTCTTTTGTTTCTACGTTTCTTCTTTGGATGTAGGGCTGGGCGATAAAACAATAACGATCAATAACAATATAATGTTCAATAAATGTTTGCTTTAACTATCTATAAGATATTTATTTTGTTGAGGAAAAGGGACTGAAAAAAGATCTTATCATAATTGTTTTGAATGTTCGACCTCAGATTTGTTAAGTGGTCCACTGTGTTTGTTCTGACCATGAAGAATAGTTAAAAAACACATTTAACCATCAGGTTTCTTCAACTTTCACTCAGGAGCAAAAATCAGCCTTTAAACTTGAAAGAAATAATGATTTGTCATTTATCACAATAATTATTGATATCGAATGGTATGAATTTTTTTTATTAATCTTAATACCTTGTTTAGCCATATCGTCCAGCCCTAATGAAGTGTATTTACTTGCTACTCCCAAGTTGGTGTTCTGGGAAACAGAACACCTCTTTCATAATATTGATGATGTTCCTTATTCTGTGGAAAACTGATGACACGGCTGGTAGATTGAGGAAGTAGACGTCTCATCTGCCGAATTAAGATGAACTTTGTTTATTTTGCAAAGCAAAAGCTCACTTGCATCCATGTGTTTGTTCAAAATTGTGACAGGAAGCAGCGTGGACTGTGACTGACGAGTGTATTCAGGTCATGGGCGGCATGGGTTTCATGAAGGTGAGTGCACAGTCCACATCCTGGTTCGTACAAATCCAGGGACCACAGAGAAAGCCGCATGTGATAAATAGATTCAAACTGTTTGTTTTATCACCTGCTAGAATTTTTTCTTTAAAAGTGTTTTTGTTTTTAAGCACGTCATAGACCCTGGAAAACAGATACTGCCATATACAGCACAAAGTTTTAAAAATACAAGTACAACGGGTTAATAAAACAACTGGTTTACAATGTAAATGAGCAATATTAGATTTGTTTTATGAGGCTAGCTATAAGCAGCAAATCTGTGCCCTATTTCTAGTAACTAGGAACTTTTTAGGAACTTAACTTGAGTTTCAACTGGAGGGAACCAGGTAAAAATTGTCTGCCCCATACTTCGTGGCCCCCAATAAAGTACTTCCTTTGGGTACTGAAATCCCGTGTTTGCTGCAGTCACGCAGGAACTATTTTAGGAGCTCAAAAACTTGTCCTGAGTCTAAAAAGTTGCTGGGCTTTGCTCCCTGGTGCTAAAAAAGTCCCTTCTCTGGGAATAGAATAGCCAACCACAATAACCACACCAGGGTCTAATAGTTCCTCGGTCAAACAGGTTGTTTTCACTTCAGGTTCTTTTCCAGAAACTATCTTAGAAACTTAGGAACTCAACATGAAGTCTGCTGCAACTTGGGTACAGCATTCATATGCGCACTCAGCAAGCACTATATGCCAGAAATATCAATATTGGGACCGGGGATTTACTTTTATGGAGTAATTTTTGATTGGCCTTTTAAAGTGAGTAACAATCGAGCGAACACGTAAACCAGAGAAACAAAACTTAACTCCAGTTAAACACAAACAATGTAGATGTGTGGAAAACTGCATGTCAAACAAAGCAGCAGTCTATTAATGGCGTATGTTATCAATCTATTTGCCTAGTCTTGATTGTTCTTCAGGTGTGGTGTAAAGAAGACCTTAGTTCCTGGTACTGTTTATTGAAAAAGTAAAGGGTTTTCCTGTTTTACTACCTCACTCCGTGCGTGCACTGGATATTAGCACAATGCTAATCCTCTGTTTGCCGTCACCACTGACTAGAACTCATCATATTTACTGAACAGCTCTCTGATCAGCCCTGCACGGATCAGTAGAAACCTTTGTTTTTAATTTAGTCATCTCATTGGCGATGATATGCTCAGACAGCAAGAGCAAGAGTAATATAAGCTTCAAACAGCCACTACACTTATTGGTTTTGCTCTGGCAACGCCTTTGTTTCTCAGAACTTGCGTACGTTATCGCCACTGTGGCAAAGAGACACGTAGCTGCTTCATGTGAGACGCTCAGAAAACACTGAGACCCATGTCGATGTTGGTTTCCTTAGGTAAAAAAAAAAACTACCACAAAGTTATTCAAGAATATACCGGTACAAGCTAGCTGAAGATACGTGGGCGGCTTGAAGCTGTGTAAACAATAATATTGCTATGCTTAAAATAAACCAGGCTACACAGTAGGTCACCTGTCTGACAATGGTGTTGATTTGCCACACACTCATTACAGTGGAAAGCTTGACTTGTCATGGAACACTTGAAAAGCAGAGGAGGCAAATTCACAAGCATTTACATTATATTTGAAGGGCAATTTAGTTTAGCAACACTTAAAATCTCAGAAATTCCCCCAGAGTTGACTAAAAAGAACATTTACGCTTCACAAAATAAACTTTATTATATGTTGTTACGCTGTATTGATACTGATATTGTATTGCAGATGTTCTCTTAATTTTGTCCACTTCTGCAAGTTGTGAAATTAGTGCTTGGTTATGAGCTGAGGGGTTGGGGGGGACACTGATACAACACACGTGAAGTCCCCTCACATTTTGTGTATTTTGAGTCACGGTTTCATTTCTCCAAGTCAGAAGTGTGTTCCCTGTACATTTTCAATTCTGCTCCTCTGTGCAGCCTGAAATATGATCAGTGACTTTCACATGCAGAATTCAAAAGTGCAGAAATGAAGTGTCTCTATTCCTGTTTGCAGCTGGTGTTTTCAGTACCTTATTTTAACTTGTGTCAAAATGTCTTTCTATGTGTAAAATATGATAAATAACACATCTCTGTGCCCCATGTTGGTTACTCAGTACGGTAAAAATAAAAATGTACCTAAGATTTCAGACTGATATCAAGAGTGAATTTTAGAATATATGCAGATTATTACAGCGTTAGGATTTATTTGAAGAAGCCTGTGCTCCTTTACTGTAAAGTTGAAGGTCATAATCTTTCTGTATCTGTTTCTGCAGGACTGTGGAGTTGAGAAAGTGCTGAGGGACCTGAGAATATTCCGAATTTTCGAGGGCACCAACGACATCCTGAGGCTCTTTGTGGCCCTCAATGGCTTCCAGGTGAAATAAGACAAGATGCTCTTTTCATCAAAATGATAGCTCTGTTGTATTTTCTTTTGCTGACTCTGTTGCGGTGATCTGATAAAGACTGTGTGGAAAAGTACAGACGCTCTGTAGAGAGGAAGTGATTTCTGCTTGCTTGAGCTGAAACTCCTACTAGTGTTTCCTTTGTATTTTGTATTAGACTCTGTGACATCTTGTAGGTTTAAGAAGCAACTTCCTTATAGTTATTTTAAACCCAGCATCTGTGTCGAGCCTGTGTTTTGCACCACTCGGAGGAGAGGAAGTGCCGCGTCATTAGAATGGGATGCTGCTGTATTACTGCACACTTCTCAAGCCTACTAGGTGTTACAGGTGTTAGGGAAAGAGTGTTACAGGTAATTACGGAGAAGAGTGCGCTTATTTCCGTTATTGTCCGTTCGGAAATTCCCTTTTGTGTCTTTGGCAACTGTCAGACAAATACAACCACAACTAAAGAATTACATTTAACAGCAGAGTGCTCGACAACCACATCACCAACAAACAAGAATTAAGTGCAACAAAATGCAAGTGCCACCCCCCAACATTGTATCACAGGGATTTCTTTAACAGTTAAACTGGAAGATATGAAGGATCAAAGTGCGCTCTGTACCTCCATCCTCACGCTAACAACTCATTCACCATACAGAGCGTGTAATACATGAAGAGGGTGACACAGGAGTGGAGTTTCCACAAAAATACTGCTGTCCCGTCCAAATCCCATGACAGCAGAGGTGGGGCCGAGTCATTGTTTTACAAAACACAAGTCTCAAGTCTTAGCACTAGAGGCCTAAGTGAAGACTGGTTGTGACAAGCAGTCAAGTCTCAAGTCCTAAACTTTGAGTTTCCAGTCCTAAGCAAGCCATAATGTGCTCTTCACCAAATTTAATACCATTTTATATTCTTAACAATAGTTAAAAAATGGAGGGGGGAAAAAACGCTTATAAAGCTCTTAACCTCCTAAAGAAAAAAGGCAGAGGTGCAGTTTCACTCAACAAATGTCGTATAACTTCATGAATTGAAAAGTGTTTATGTAGGGCTGCTCCATTATGGCAAAAATCCTAATCACAATTATTTTGGTCAATGTTGAGATCATGATTATTTAACACGATTACTCATTGACTTAGGAAAAATCATTAATTTATTGAACTGTTAAAATTGAATGCTTTGTTTGTAAAAGTGATTATATGCATTAGGCTACACAAAACTCCCAAATAACCCATGAAATAAGAAACGGCATGCAGCACAATAATCGTTTTATGTTAAGTTACTTGTTTTTATAATCGGTGGAAGCCAAAATCTTAACCGATTTAAAATTTCATTAATTGCACATCCCCATGTTGATGCGCTGCATAGTTTGTTTTTTATATTATGAATTGAATTTGAATTGAAATTTTGAACATGCAAGAGAAAGTATAAAAAAATAAAACCGTGTTTAAAAACATAAGGGAGAAAAACAACAGATGAGCAGCAAACAAAAGTACCCTTCTTTCCTGTGTTAACATACTTCTGTCACATGTGTGAAAAGGAGTAGGAAGAAGTAGAACTTATGTACTCCCACACATTTATTTCTTCCTTCAGTTAACAGTTTTTATATTTGTGTGTGTGTATTTTGTTTATGTACACAGTATTAAAGTGACCACTGATAAGTATTTATTTATCTAACCTCGATTATGTACTTATTCAAACGGCAAAATATAAAAACAAACAAAAAAACATAAACAAAGGAGCACTCCTACTTTTACTACAGTGCTTCTCGATACCTCTTGAAAGTAATTTCTGTGTGCATTTTTTTTGAAAAGGAATATGTTTGGTCATTGCTTTGGGTTCTCATTTAGTTTATTCCACACTTTAACTCCGCAAATAAACATTATCTTTTCCTTGTTGTTCTAAATCTATTAGTCTTAAAATTTACCCTTCCCCTAATTTTATTGAGAGGGTATCAAGTCAGTTCAACTCAACTCAAAAGGCTCAAATCCAAGTGAAGTCACGAGTCATTTGTGGATAAAGTCTTTAGTCGATTTCTTTTGATTTTGTCAAGTCGACTCTAAAGTCATCGTATTTGACTCTAGTCCACACGTCTGCATAAAGGCCTTTTCACACGGGAAGAGACACTGCCTGCGTGGTCGCCTGGCCCTGCGGGGTCGCTCTGCACTTCTCATGTGAACAGACACCGAGACGAGCGCTCCGCGAGTAAACGGAAGGCGGTCAATAGATAGTAACCATGGCAATGGCTTCTGTGCGCCACTGTATTCCTTCATAGCCTAGCTAAAAGTAAAACTATAAGTAACGTTAGTTGTTAGGCTATATTATTCATATAGCTGATAAATCTGGTCATGCAAACGCCCTCTGGTTAAAGTCCCGGTAACTTTTCAATGAACACTTACTATATTTCAGGGAAGTCACAGACGGCGAGGATCACTCTCTCATCCATCTTCTTTTTGTGCTGCGTGTCACGTAGGCTACAAAAAGTTCAAGTGAATTTAACTTTGGCAGGGGCGGGCGTGTGCGTGAGACGAGCACGACCGCGGCAGTTTCACGGGAACACGCCCACTTGTCGCAACGCCATGTCAGCCTCTATGATACATGGCTGAGGACGGCCCGACTTTCCTCGTCACTCGGGACTCAGTTTCATACTGTGCTGTTACTGACAAACCAGACATATTAACAATCTTACTATGTTTGTTCTTATTAACACATGACAGAATAAAATAGAACATAATATAATGCAATACAGAAATCTCATGTGAATATGGTTTTTAAGAAGAAGCCCTCGTCACTGATAAATCATGCATTTCCTTCTCCGCTTCACTCCAGAACGCTGGAAACCAACTGAAGACCTTGCAGAAGGCCTTGAAGAACCCCCTTGGCAATGCCGGGATGCTCGCTGGAGAAATCACCAAGAGAGCTAAAAGGTTGTATCACCCTCACATACCCACAGGCTCTTTCTGTCACTTCCTGTCTGGGGGAGAGGAAGTGCTTAACCACTATAGCAGAAGGTGGGAGACAGGGACTCCCGTTGCACAATACGATGCGATAAGCATTAGATCCATCCTTCAATTTGTCCACTTTGCAGTTGCAACTGACATCCGAGCACAAATTACTCATTTGTCTACAATATCTGATAAGAGTTTTTTGTCTGCCTATGGATAAACACACAAAAATAAATAAATAAAATGAGATATCTTACATCTGGGCTTTACACACACACACACACTTTCCTGCACTGTACTTCCCTTTAAAGTGATTACAAACTGCCTGCAGCAGTTCAGTTGGTGCTTTCAGACCGGCTCTATTTGTGTGCTGTTGCAGACAAAAGGCTCGTCTTACGGTCACTCGGATGCAGCTCATCTGTCTGTATCCACTTTGTCCTCCCCACATCTCCAACACAGCCGTTTAACGTGTCGTTGCTCAAAGCACCGGACACCCAAACAGCTGGAATTTACTCCTAAGCTGTCAGAAACAAACCTTTTTTTAGATATACCTATAATAAATACTAAATGTTTATTTCTTAAGGAAATTCTTAATTTCATCGGTTTTGGAAAACTCAACTGACATGAAATGATAAACGCTAACAACAGAATTGTTAAAGTGAAATGTTGGTTCTTAAGAGCGAAACATCTGTAATGAGCGTGCGACATGCCGTCAGCTCAGGACGTCCCTGTAGCTGTGGACACTGGCTGCATAATGGCAGAACAGACACATCAGATGTGTTGCTGCTTTCACCACACTTCCTCAGCAGCCATGTTGATGTAACAGCTGTCTTCTTCTTTGCAGAAAGGCGGGTTTGGGCACAGGTCTGACACTGCAGGGAACTGTACACCCCGAGCTGGCGCAGAGCGGTGAACTGGTGTGTGGAACCTTTTTTTCTTTATGTGTGTGATACATTTTCCATTTTGTGCATTTATTTAAGTACTTGTACTGAGAGAGTGGGTGTCCAAGTTACCATATGACGGAACTTTTTTTATTTTGCAAATGGATTTTTCTGCTTTCTCTTCAGTTTTCATTTCACCTATTTCTCATTCCGGCAGTTGTGTGGGTTTTCTTATTTCTAGACCATTAAAGCCATCGAACAGTTTGGAGCAGTGATTGAGGAGCTGCTGATCAAACATGGCAAGAAGATCATCGGTGAGTGTGTGTGTGTGTGTGTGTGTGAGAGCGGGACATAGAGAAATCCTGTGGGTAATATTTTGTTGTTGTGGTTAGAGTTGGAGTCATTTCAGGTGCGATTTGCTTTTTTTTAGAATTCTAGAAAAATAATAATTTGGTTCTGGAGGAAGAATTAGGATTCTTTCACAGTCGTGGTACAACATCTAAAGGTGTGGGCTTTGGGGCCAATATATCCTCTTATCACTTGTTATGTTTGTTTTGTGATGGTGTAATACGTTTGAGTCAACTGAACAAGCAGGTTGCCTGTTGCAGATGAACAGTTTGTCCTGAAGAGAGTGGCCGACAGCGCTATTGACCTCTACGGCATGGTGGTCGTCCTGTCCAGGTATGCAAACACTCAAGCACGTCAAGGCTCTCTCTTTGTGAGCTGTTTGGTTTACCGACCAACTGTCTCTCTCTGTCTCAGTTTGACTCTTTCATCCTCTCTCTTGCAACACTTTCTCTTTGGTCTGCTTTTATTCCACATACATACTCCTACACAGCCTTAAGTGACATTTGTGTGTGTTTTTCCTCTCTGCAGGGCTTCACGCTCTCTGAGTCAGGGCTCATCCTCAGCTCAGCATGAGAAGATACTGTGTGAGACCTGGTGTATGGAGGTAAGGTCAACGTCAAACCCACAAACACAGTTGAAAACAAATGTCTGTGTGATGAGATTGTGTCGTGTATTTAAGGTAAATGTAAAAAAAAAAAAAAAAAAAAAGTATAAAGCTACATCATGTACTTATATCCTGTTTGAGGGTGTTTCAGCTGTTTGCTCAACATCAATATTAGTACTTTATGGTTGTAAATTGAGGTACCATTATTTGTTAGTAGGATGGACAAATAGCTTGCCAATTTTCGGGTGGCTGGGTGTAAGTGGGAGGGAAAGACATCAAATACCACATGATTTTTTCCAAAAAGATAATATATTTATATTGGTGTAATTGTGCTCTATACATCATTCTATTTACACAGAAGGAAGATTCAGGTAGAAAATAAATTATAATGTGGAAATGGTTGCCAGACATATAATACATTGTTCACTGTTCTGGGAGGTAGAGTTGTATTCAACAACTTTGTGCTACGTACAAAATACGGCGGAACAACTTTGTTAGCAGGCTGTGAAGTTAAAATCCTGAATTGTGAAGGAAAAGTTAAGCTTATTCGCTTTCTTGGTGAGAGTAAGATTGTCTAACACATTCCCATCTGCCAAATAAAGCTAGTATTAACTGAATGCTATGAATGAAGCTCCCAGCACCTCTAAAGCCCACTAATCAACACATTATATCTCGTTTATATGGATTAATCAAATGAGATGTGTGTTTATTAGTGAGCTTTAGAGGCGCAGGTAGCCTGGATAGAGAGAGAGAAATCATGCATTTAGGAATGAAATTCCTACACTATCAGTTCATGTTGAGTGCAGCTGTCACTTTGCCAAAAAGTCAAGCTCAAACAAATTCAAATTAACATGACCCAACCCATGTGGTGTAGTCCTAAACTAGATTGAGGAATTAATGCTTTTCAGTTGCCTCAACTGGGTGACAAGTTAATGCAATTTACAATGTCCGTAAACAGATTCACCTTGTCCATACCTTTTCCATTTAGTCTTGAATCTAAAATGCTTTTCTCACGTTCTACTTCTTAAATGGTTTGAGGTCATGAATATCTGCCTGCCGCGGTGATTTAACTTCTGTTTTTTTGGAGGATTTTATTCCACACCGCTGACGTCTCACAACTTACTGCCCAACATCTCTGCTGCCGAAGGCTCTTGATGAGTAGTTTTGAGATGTAGCAGGTACATTTGTAAACTTCAGGTAATCTAACTTGATTAACCCTTCATCCCTCAGGCGCATGAGAGGATAATGCATGACATCAAGTCTCTGCGCTCCAGTGAGTCCAGACGGCTGTTCAAGAACCTGCGAGCCATCTCTGCAGCCGTGGTGGAGAACGGAACAGTGGTGGCTCCTCATCCTCTGGGTTTCTAAACACGCTTGTATCTTTATGGATCTTTATGTCTGTTTTTTTCCACACTTATGCATCTCTAACCAGCGCCATGTATGCCAAGTATTCCCACAATTTATCAACTTTTGTTATTGCCACAATTGCTCCATCATACATCTGTGCCCTTTTTATCTGCTTTGTGTAATTAAGCTTCTGTGTACTGAGTTGCACTTACAACTGAGGGCTGAATGATTTCTTGTTTTTATACAGAAATTACAATGTGATACAAAGCAGTTGTTTTTTTTTTTTTCAGGTACTTATTTATTAAATTCTGACTCACAACCTCTAGATTTTGGTGCTGGAAGTCTCACTGTGAGCTGGAGGTTTAATCTACCGGGGGGAAAATGATTAAAATTGTTCAGTAGGCAAGAAAAATCACATTATTTCTACAAATCATTCAGCCCTACTACCACCTGCATCTAATCGATTGTGTGCACGGAGCTTTTAAGTTTACTTTATTTCAGCCTTTGTAGCTTTCCTGCGGTTGAATCTAGTGAAACGTGAAGTTATGGTGTGATTTTGGTGTTGAAGGGAAAATGTGTCAATGCAACTTTGAGGCCAGTGGAACAGGAAGCTCATCTGTTTAAAGGGGTTTAAGTTATACACAAAGGTATTGTAAAAGAGAATTCAAATGTATATAACGATGTGCATGTTCATAAGCTCACTCTGAGCTCATGACAGAGACAGTGTCAGGAGCAAAACCTTTTGCCTTAGAAACCGGTCCACAGATGCCGTTTGTAGTTCCTCACATGCAGCTTACACGTGTATTTTTAAACAAGTGCAGGTCAACTTCACTCTAAGCTCTTTAAAGGGCGTCGCATTAACTTCCAAAGTGCAAGTGTTTATTTTCTTAGCTGAAAGTCGCAGACGTCATTAACTATAATTGTAGAAAGTTAAACACCACTCTGCATACCTGGAGTTTAGAAATTTTAAGAAATCATTTCTTGTACAATAAATGCACCTAATCTGCTGTTATCAAAGTGTGTTAACGCATTCCTAAAACTTAAATTAGGTCTGTACATTCTTGCCTTCCCATTAACTTGTACCGTGTAGAAACAATGCTGCTGTTAAGTCAGTAATCTGTTATCTGAACAGTTAATGTGCAGTGTGGCTGATTCTGAAACAGATATGATCACATGCCTTCAAAGAAATCACATGTTATCTATCTAAAAATACCTCTAATGATGCCAGATGATTGTCCCACCTTGTTTGATCAGTGTTTGTGCGGAGCTACTGTGACCTTTTTTGGTTTTACAGCGCATGTACTGATTGGGATTAATAAAGTATCTGTCTGTTTGTCTATCCATGTATCTGTCTTGGCTTTCACCAGTGAGAGTTATGAATGTCTATATTAGTTTAATATGTATTTATGTAATATGTGTTATGCTGATCATTTTCATCATTAAATTAATATTAAATATATCTTTTTTTAGGCCTCTGCCTGGGTAAAACTCAGTAAAAAGCAATTAAATATTTAAGCTCAGCAAAAAAATAAAAATAAAAAATCCCATCGAAACAATATTTCCCCACTGCCAATCTCCCTTCCTACTTCTGTTGTGCTCACAGCAGTTAACAACTCTACTTTCACTTCTGCTGCCCATGATCTTGCAGGGCAAAAGCTCTGTACAGGAATACCAGTAAATGCTATGGCGGCTGCTGGTGCATTCAAACAGGAACCCCTTCCTGCACTCATATACACACTGAGTTGACACAGTGCTGTGGGTGCGAGACTGAGCGAAGATGAGGGTTGTGCCAGTGCTTCACAAGCCCTGTGGTTAAAACATGAATTCCCCAGGCATGGTTTCGCTCCATCTGACTAAAAACTAACTAGTGAGCTCAGCAGCAAAAGCTTGAGGCATTCCCCACGCATTATATAGGCTTAATTTCCTCTTTTTTAGTAGTGGTTAATATTAAAGGAAAGGAAAAGTCAGCTTTTCTTTGAGAAAGTTGAGATTTTTCAGGCCAAATCTCCATTAGGGGACTTTAGCTCAGAATTGTGTAAAACTTAAGATAATTTGCCTTTGAAGGGATAATTTAACATTTTGGGAAGTCTGTTGCTTTATTGCAGAGAGTTAGATCAGAAGATGGATAACGGTGTCCATTAAATGTGAAGCTTTAGCCAGGATACGGTTAACTTGGCTTAACATAAAGATTGGGAATAAGATAACAGCTAGCTAAAGCTCACCAATTAACACATTATATCTGTTGTTTACGCCATATGAAAAGCACAATGTAAAAATGACAATTTGTGAGATATAACATGTTACCTTGTGAGCTTTAGAGGTGACTGTAAGTGATTTTTTCACGGGGGGGGGGGGGGTAGGCTAACCTTTTCCCGCTTCTTTAAGCTAAGCCAACAGTCTTGATAGCTTATTTCTGATCCAGTACTAAGTAATGCAGAGCCAGGATCGCTGATATTGATCAGTGTTTATACTTTTTGTTAAGAGCAGCTACTGTAATACCAAATAAGGAAGAGAAATGTCATGATTCATGAGGTGAATGCATTATTAATAGGTCACATCTGAATGGCCAATTCTCTCTTCTACCCTCTGGGCGCAGGCTCAGGTCCCTGAGGTGAAGAAGGGCCTGTTTGGGCAAAAAAGCCTGGTACATGTAGCCATTGCAGCCCTCAACAAGGTGTCTCGATGCACTGTGAGTCTGGACCTGTCCTGTCTGTTGTTATATATGCTATTTGTGGTGTATATAGGTTGGGAAAATATATATATATATATGGGGAGGATAATGTTGAATACTGATTGGTGATGTACTGTGTTGTGAAAAAGCATTTCCCTCTGGTGACGAAGTCTAATCTATTTACTACTGCATGTTAAAATGTGAAAAAAAAACTTTTAAAGGAAAATAACAAGTGTTTACTGCGCCCAGAGTGTGATCTAACACCAGATAGATCTTTTTATCTCCAGTACTGACACTCAAAACAACACTTTTGGCGTAGCCTACATCCGCCTCTGCACCTATCATTTAACAGATAGATAAAAGAATTGTGTCCGTCTTCTCAAATAATTCTCATATTAAAAGTGAAATTGCATGTGACCTGCCCTCTCTTGATTTCAGCAGTGCTGGAAATACTCAAGTGAATCAATCATTAAACTCACAATTTTTTAATATCCACAAGGTTGAACAAACATAGAAACAACATTCACCGGATGGTATGTTTAAGTCTATCCTCCATCCCAATCATTTCAATCCCAAATGATGCAGGGCTGTTTGTAGAGGCCAGAGATGTCCTGAAGATTTCCTGGACCAGCCAGGAAAATGTACAATAAGAGAACTACCCACTTCTTCGGAAACCGTCCTGTCTTCTGCTGTTGGCCAGCGAGCAGCTTCACCTTGTGCTCCCCTGACAAAAGGTTTTAGCAAAGTATAAACATGCTGATGTGGTGGCGTGACACTGATGCACTTCCAGGTCTTAATGTTCTCTGGTGAGGAAGAAACCTTATGGATCAGGATGATTGTGTCCAAGGCGGTTCCTTTAATTCCTTTCAGGCCTGAAATGAGAACAGCCACTTATCCAAATGTTCCTGTGGCTGTCTTGATCCTGACATTGACCTGCCTTTTCCCTCGTCACGCGTTGTCCGAATCGTCTTGACATGAGTGCAAGTCATGTGAGGAACTCCTGACTGGCATCGGCGATGTTTCTTCCTCCTGTGGGACTTGCGGGACCTCGAGGGAAATGATCGTCTGGGCTGTCAGTGTTCGCTCCCTGAGGGGGGAAAAGGGAGTAAAAAGAACCTGAAATGAAACAGTAAAGCTTCAGCAGTACATCAAGTTGCTCTGATGTGGTGAAATGTCGTGACACGCTCTAATTTCCAAAACACACAGAGGGGAAGCATTTTATGATCGGCTGTGCTTTCATCCTCAAATCATGCAACAGTTGCCACAGTAATGTTGAACTTTATGCAGATCAACTAGTTTCACACATTTCTTTCAATCCGGTGACCTTTTCTTGTTATTGATCAGCCGTCTTCAAAGAATTCACTTTTTCATTTTAGATGTTGCATTCAGCACTTCTTTGCATTGTTGCTTATATCTTTATGGTTATCAAATGTTTATTATTTTTAGTGAAGAGTAGGCCGATGAAGCTCTCCTAAATGAACGCATTTAAATAAGTATTTGTATTCAGCGTCTTGGGTGAACACAAAGTTAAATATGGGAGCTCTAAGGGAGGCCTACTTAAGTGTCTGGACTAAAAATTCATTATGTATTTTGGTGTTGTAAAGAAAAAACCCATCCATTTATTAACCCATTTTAACATTTACGACAGCGAATTTCATGAATTAGGCTATTGCAACAATATTTTATGGATGATTAATTAACATATTGGAGTTTACTTTCTAACTTTTGATGGCAATGAAGTCTTTTGCTGCAGACTTGTTGAATCATTAAAAAGTGAGAATATGGTGAGCATTTAAGCTGCAGTCGGTAACAAATTAAGAACATGCCATGCAAAACTTTCCTCTGCTGCTCGTATCCCTCCTTTAAGCCCCTCCCATCCAAACCCACAAATTCGTACAGCAGCAGAAGGCGCCTGCCCCTCGAAACGTAATCGGGTGAAGGGCTTGTAAGTGCCCGATTTGTTCTACGCATGTGCTAAACTCAGATTTTAACGCCTTTTACAACACTGCCCTACCCTAATCCTAACACTAACCCCACATCCTTCTCGCTTGGACTGGTCTTCTCAAAAACGCACCTCCAATGCTTCGCGGCCCAGGGCAGAGGCAGCTTTGACAACGTCTAACAGCTGGATGAGAGGCTAGTTCACCAATGTCCACGCTCAAAAGTTATTCCCCACTGTTTGTCATCATGCCTCCGGGTGGGGCAGTTCTTCCCTTGTGGTTGGTTGTTTCTCGGCCATTGTGTTTTTCAAAACTTCTGAAGTCGCATGCTGAAGATATTGAGCTTGACTGAGAGCATGCGGCTGCAGCCTGTTCAGGAGCAATGACACTGTTATTGAGACTGCTCTTGGCTCTCACTAGTTGTTTGTGGTGGATTCTTGCAAATGGCCTTAGGAAAATGAGGAGGAGCCAGAGGAACATTTCCAGATTATCTGTGTCATGAACTACTGCCAGGATATATTGACAGCTTTAGCAAATATGATAAGATGATATTTCTTTTATACCTACTGAACCTTAAATAACTCGACAATTAAGGACTCGCCAGTAAATTCGTTTTTTCATAGATTGCTCACAATAGGCTAAGTGATTAGTTACAAATAGACTTTTTATAAAGGGTGATAATGAGCAAAGTGGTACCTTGATTTCTTTATGACTGTATGGAAAGTAAAAACAAATGTCTATTGGGACATAGGCCTACCTTGTTTTTGGTTGGGTTTGTGTCCAGTTTACGTTCACAGTCCAGCCGAGGGCACTCTTCAAGTATCGGGAGCAGCAGGGGAACCTGCGACTCAGCTGCTCCAGTAGTTCCTCTTTGCGCAAACCGTAAACAACCGGCGCAACGCACTGCGCCAAACTGAAGAAAGCAAATATAACCACGGCTGACAGCTGTTTAGTCTCTGGCTGTATGAGCCCCCGTTTGAACAATATCGTCAGCACGAAGTTCACAAAGTTGGGGAGGATGTACACAGCCAGCTGGCTCCCATGCAGTGCTATTGTCCTGCACCCGGCCCGGTTCCGCCGGTTCAGCACTCCTAACCGCCGCCCCTCTACTAGTATCCTCACGTAGCTGTACAGGATGAGCAGCGTGCACAAACCTATGAACAGCACCTTCTGCAGCTCGCCTTTCTTCAGCTGTTCCCGGCCGCACTCCCCGTTATAGTTGTCCCCGGTGGTGGTGTTGGAGGAGTCTGGGTTGAGGATCAAGCTTAGGGGAATGACCAAAGCCACCAGCCAGGTGAGCACGCCCAGCAGCCAGGGCCAGTGACCCGACATGCAGGTAGAGGTGTAGCGCATGGGGTGGCACACGGCGCAGTAGCGGTCCAGAGCCATGGCCGTGAGCGTCAGCAGGATGTTGGAGGCGCTGCTGATCAAGATGGTGATCATGGCCAGGCAGGCGGAGCGGCCTGGCCGCGCGCCTAGGTGGATCTGATAGTAGAAGACACTGCTCATCCCCAGGTAAACCAGGGCGGATACAAGCAGGTGGAAAACCAGCACGAAGCGGGCATGACTCCGGAGCCGCTCCACGCGAACTATGGTCGAGTTGATGAGGAAGTTGAAGAAGAGCAGCACCGAGAAGGACACGGTGGACACATAAAAGCGCACGCAGGTGTATTCGCCGTCTCCCGTCTCTGGTGACCAAGTGGTGTTGTTTGCTGACATAATTCCTCAGCTGGGGTTGGTGGGATTCACAGGATGATGACGATGACGATGAAGGCGGTGGAGCGGATGGGAAAGAAAGTTTGTTCGCCGCATGATCCTCTCTCACCGCTGCCTCACTGAAGTCTGACTCAGTGTGATCATCCGCTCAGTTCTCTCTCTCTCTCTCTCTCTCTCTCTCTCTCTCTCTCTCTCTCGCGCTCTCTCTCTCTCTCTCTCTCTCTCTCGCTCGCTCGCGCTCTCTCTCTCTCTCTCTCTCTCTCTCTCGCGCTCTCTCTCTCTCTCTCTCTCTCTCTCTCTCTCTCTCTCTCGCTCGCTCTCTCACACGCGCTGTAGAACAGACATCCTGCAGTTTTCAGTGAGCCTCTTAAATAACTTCATCTCGACTTTTAAGTGTTTAATTATAATCTTCTAAATAGGTTAATGAATTAACATTTAGTCTTTGGGATGAAAAGACAATTTCCTTTCAAAATGGAATTGCAAAATGAAGCCTAAAAAACCTTAGGCTATAAGCGTTCACCTAGGCTATAGTATAATGTCTTAGTTGATTTGTCCCCTGCCTTCATTTTTACATTTCATGTTTAATTCACTTTCCTCTGTCTGAAATAGTGCAGCATGCCGAGCCCACAGAGCACTAACAGGGCGTCTGATAGCAGTTTCATATTGCTGCCACCTTCTGTTGTGAGCAGGATGAGGCTCCAAGAGTCCTGTGAGCTCAACAGCTGGCCAGTCAGAGGTGCTGTTGCTGCTCCATGGTCATTAGAAACGACTAGACCCACGGAGGACAATGTAGAGCTGAATCTAACAAGCTGAGTCTGAGCTGTGGCCACTAACTCTTTGATTTAGTTCATATCATGGGCCCATTATCAGATGGACCCCTGAACACAACACAGAACACAGGGCCGCATCACAGCTTCACAGTGTGTAGGTGTATCCACCTGTATATTTACTACTTACTAGTTATTGTGTAGCTGTCATATAGTACATAGGCAGTGGTGGAAGAAGTATTCAAAAGTATTCATACTCAAGTAGCCTAAAAGTAAAAAAGTAGCTGGTTGTAAAAATACTTAAGTAAACAAAAGTAAAAGTACTACACATCAAAATCTAATGATCTCACAAAAAGCAATATTTTTAAATTCACTCAAGACAGGTTTGAATACAGCATTATAAGTTACAGTGAATCACAATAAGGAAAACTGAGTTCCAAGAGGACAAGTGGATATATCCCATACTGTGGGTAGCATACGTCTGCGTTATTGCTCTGCTGTTGTGGTAGTATCCCCTTCAGACCATCTGACAGACACAGAACCCCATTTGGGACTTTGGATAAGATGAGACAAGGAGGCGGAAACCAAAACTAACTGAAAACACTTCTCAATTCACAATCTCACCAAAACCCCACACATGTTAACTTCAGCACTGCTCATAAAGTGCAGCTCGCAGTCCCAAACAAAGCAAAGTTGGCTTCAGTTTTCAGATGTTTATATTTCAAAACTCTACCAGCTACATTTCTGCTTGGTCACAAACTGGCTGCGACCCACATTGCAAAAACAGAGCTGCTGCACAGTCGCACCTGACACCACAAAGCTCTCACTACAATCCTCCCTCTGTAAGAAGCCTGAATAGAAACCTCTAGAAAAATCTAGTGCTGGTTTGAACAGACCTCTGCGCACCATAACTCAGACCTCATGAAGTCTGATAAGACTGGTGGACAATCTGCGGGGTCATTTGATGGAGCAGCAGCTGTTCCATTAGGGTCTGAGCTGCTGGCTTTACATCTCTGGCTGTGCTCGTACTGGCTGAGGCTGGACGTGTTTCACCTGGTCTGTGGGACCAGCTAAAAAATTCTGACTGGATGTGGATCAGCTGTGCTTATACTGGCTGACTGGCTGGAGTCTGTTCCTGTACTGGCTGATGATCCAGCATCTACTCCGACAGACTTAACCATAGCACCTGTAAATTATAGATATTTTCTTTATGTTATCAGCTGCATCAGGCCCATTCAAACTGACTCGTCCAGGTTTCATACATTTTAAAATATGTTATACTAATTATAAAATGACTGGGCTGATTATGTGATGCTTGTTATTTACTGAGATGTGCATCCATATTGCCCAGTCTGTCCAGTTAATCAACATTTTAATAGTCAATGTGGATCCATTAGTTCCCATCTTGGATTTGTCCAGAGTTGGAACTAAACTCCTGTAAAAGCTATCTGCTGACATCAGATTTACAGACGAGAGAACAAGTTTGACTGTTGTTCACGCACTTCATTCTCATTGACTATTTTTCTCGTGCCTGGAAGGATATTCCCTCTTCATCCTCTCAAGGTTTTAAACTTTCGCGTTCACCTTTGACAGGAAAGTGAAACGGGGCCGTCCAGCTTATGCAGTTGTCGCATCAGCTGGCTGAAGTTGATTCGCGCCGAGTCGGCTTTATCAGTTTTGCATTTGTTTTTCAGTGCCGCGCAACTCAGGTGCGCTGCATAGGCTACTAATAACAATGTAAGGAAGTCTTTTGCAGAATGTAACGGAGTAAAAAGTCTGATATTTGGCTTTGAAATTTATCGAAGTGAAAGTAAAACGTTGCAACAACTAAAAATACTCAAGTACAGATACCGAAAAAAAACTGAGTACAGTAACGAAGTATTTGTACTTCGTTACTTTCCACCACTGTACATAGGCTTTATCACATCCACCTGCCTCATGTACATAATAACATTGCATAATTACTGCTTGTTTATATTCCTGCATCCTTTTCACTATTTCAATACACTAATGTCTTTCTGTCAACAAATGTTGTTTATGGTTGTGAACAGTGTTGGGGAGTAACGTGAAATTTAATGATGCAGGCTAATTTAATTACAAAATAAATGTAACTGTAAACTGTCACAGTTACTGGGGAAAACTGTGTAGGCTAATTAAATTAGAGATAGCCTACTTAGGCTATGAAAATATTCTGTAAAAAGCTAGTCTATATGTTGAATAATATTCTTTGCATATTTTTCATTTGCACAATGTCTTCCATTGCCATTTCTAGGCACAGCCATTTAGTAAAGTTTGATACCGTTCTGATACTTTTGATTGGTTTATGGGTTTTCAGCGCCACCTGACAGTTAAACTGCCTCTCAAGCTATCTTTTGATAATGGTTAAGAGGTGAAAACATTTATTAGAAAATGAGAAAAGTAAAACTATTACATTTCCAAAGTAACCTTACCATCACTGGTTTTAAATATGTGTTTACTTTTTAAAATTTAGTTTGTGTCTGTTTTTGCTGAGCTTGTTATCCTGTTTGTTCATTCTTGTGTACACTGAGAGTAATGTAAAACCAGAGTCAACTTCCTTGTATATGCACACATACCTGGCGATTAAAGGTCATTTTGATTCTGTGGGGTCATGCAGATAGGAGAAGTCAAGGTCGCTGGGATGTGTCAGTTATGGTGTTATGATTTGTTGTAAAATTAGTAAAGGTCCTGCTCCAACAACAAAGCTACCAGTAGAGGGAGACATCAGTCAAGCGGTGTCTGTTGGCTACAGACTCTGTCCTAATCAGGGCAAAATAAAAAATTCCTGTGTGGGTTTTTCATGAGTGTGCAGGGCCTTCAACAGCAGTCAGGTACTGGCTCAGTCCCCCTCCCCTGCCTCCACCTCGAGTCTGGACGTAAACCTGTTTATGTGATGGCCTTTCCTTTGGTGCCATCATCAGGTCAAGTTTTGCCCCAATGAAAGCAGCAGTCTGACTCTCATTATTTTCATCTGTCCAACAAGCTTCACTTTCTGAAATGATTGATTGAATTGATTGAACTTCTTTATTGATTGTAAATATAAAAGTGGCACCTGCAGCAAGAGATGCCCCAGCTACAGATACCATCAAAAGGAAAAAAACACAATAAAGCCAGACGGCTTATTTCTATTGTGGTCCTTTTTAGGAAGGCAAATTGGTAGGAGCTTCATGAAAAGACAACTATAGTTAGTTATTAGCAGCTTCCAAGTATAGGCCTACATCGTTTCTCTTAAAAAATAAAATGCAGTAACAATACAATAATATTAATCCTTACACACTCCTATGTACAATTCAACTATTTCTATCACATTGCTATACAATATATAAGGAAGGTCACTAAATTTGACTTAAATTGAACTGGCCTGTGGGCTACAAAGCAAAATTTAAACTGAAATTTAAAACAACAGCATATTGACAACATTTCATGATATTGGCCACTCAGCCATTTTGTTACTCAACCTATTTAAAAGGTTTTAATGCTCATTGGTAGCCATTCCACATAATGACAGCTGAATACAGGAAAGAACTCTTAAACCTAATGGGAACCAAATCAGTTCCCCCTTGGGATAGTGATGGTATTCCCTAATTTTGGTAAAGTAGTTGTACAGCTACGTTTGTGCATAGCCTAATTGTGAACAATCCTGTGGGTTAGACACATTTGGATTTGTGAAACTCTCTCAATGGATGAAATGAGTGGGAAGAAGATGTGTCCTATATGGAAGTTTAAGGACCATTCGCACCAGTTTGATTTGCTATGTGAGTAGCTTCTTTTTATAGGTGTATAGTATACATATAGTGTTCATAGGTGCACTTTTATACCAGGAGAGGTATGCATAATCAAAATGACACTAGATGAGAACCTCTGCCAAAGTCTCTAGCGCTGTTCTATCAAAAAATATCGAGATTCTTGCGAGAATCTGATTCTTTGGTTGACTTTAGTGAGCACCATCTGAGCCATGCGCTCTCCTAATGAATGATTGTCTGAGACACAGCCTAAGTAATTGACAGATTCCTTGGCTGTGTCTCCCACCACTACCCTAAAATCTGTGGTCTTCTTTAGCTGTGTATAATATATAATTATCACCACATGTATGCAGCCTCACAGGGTCGCCATAGCACTAGTTTCAGTCCTCAGTTTCAGTCTAATTCGTTTTGCCTATTCGGCATCTACAGGCGTGCAGGTGTTGTTATGCTGCTGTCACCTTCATATTTGTTTAAATCATTTGTCATTTTGTTTGAAGGGGTATGCAAAATACCTGTCTTTGCTTGAAACTAGAATAACCGCCTCACGGTTGTATGCCTCCGCCAACCTGTCAAGTTGCAGGTTACATCCACGTCTGTCCAGACTAATGCAGCC